AAGGTAAAGGAACGTAACGTAACTGAACAAGTACGAATAAGTAAGTAATAATAGTACGTACGTATAACTTACTATAGTCTCTCTACTATATATATATATATATATATATATATATATATATATATAGCTGTTCAGTACTGCCGTCTCTATGCAAAAGTTTTTTGCATACCACAAGCCTTGAGCTTTCACATACACCACAATCAACTTGGTTCAACTGAATTTGCATGTAAATCATCATGCAACAACCCACCACCAGTACAGTGCATCACACTTTCCTGACGCATGTGACTCCTTCTATTTGATTCTATTGAGCTGTCATGTCTCATTTGACAGCAGTATCATCATGATGTTTTTTTTTGTTTATGCTTTCTTCCCGCATTTTTTATTATTATTTTATTTCAAGTGGAAATATTTATCTAGCTTTTTTTTCCTACTTCACTTTAACAATTTTAAGTGATCACATACCTTTATTGTTCTTCACATATTTTTTTGGTTTTCACCAAAGTTTATGTTTCCACTTTGAAAGTGGTCTCATTTACTTTCAGCACACTTACAGCTTCAGGTGGCAGTACTTGACAGAATAATTGTTGGCTTTCATACATTAGAATATTGATCATTATATGAGTTGACCTTTGTCGGGCCTCGAGTTTGGAGGCCCACACATTTTAACTATGGTTTGCCATTTTTGGACAGATAAACCATTATAATGTTATATATTTTGCTTTTTTTATATATTAATATTATTATTTGTTGTTATTTGGGTTCAGTAACCTAAGTTTAGTTAGATTTGTAAATACTTATTGTAAAGTTAGGGTTTTCAATTAGAGGTTAGTGATATCCTTTATACTACAACATTAGATTAGGCTTAACAAGTGTCTTTAGTTATTTTAAGCTTACCTGCCCTTCAATTTAAGGGTAAATCCTAAATTAGGTTAATTATATTGTTTTCTTCAACAAATACTTTTTAATCATTTCTTTATTGTCAATACATGGATGTCAATTCCCAGTGGCTGGGTTTTGGATGCAGTTGACTTGCCGTGTATGGTCCCTCATACCATAGCCACTCTACACCTAGGGGCACATCCTTTTACTTTCATCCACATTACTTTCTCTCAAGGGATTGAGATTCCAATATCACGTGGTTTGGACCCCTATCCAAACATTTTTCTCTCCATTTTGGATGTGCTCTTCTCTTTTTCCACCCATGTTTGCAACACCTCTTCCCACATTGGGTGTAAAGTATACCTGGTACAGATGTGGTGTGGTCTCCTACATAGGATCCTCCACTGCAAGGATCTCCACTTTTCAGGTGCCCTTTGAATGCTTTCGAAGGGTGCTTCTTTCTTTCCCTTGCACCGGCCCCTCCACCTATTCAGTGTGGGATTCTAACTATATCTATGAGAGGAGGTAAGTTACCGTATTGGAAGTTATAATTATCTTGTACTGAAAATGTATTTTCGATAGGTACTTAACTCCTTTCACACTTCCCACCCTCCTTTCTCACTGAAAACCGCTGCTTCCATTTTCTGCCAAAACTTGAAGTGATAGTTTGGTAGAATCGAATAGAGGGAGACACATGCATCAGGATGGTGTGTTGCACTCCTATTGGTGAAGGGTTGTTGCATGAGGATTTACATGCAAGAAACAGTTGAACCACATTGATCATGGGGTACGTTAGAACTGAAGGCTTGTGGCATGCAAAAATTTGTTTCCATATAGAGGGTAGCACTGAATAGGAATAGCTATATCTGTAAGTGGAGGTAAGTACCTATTGGAAATACATTTACAGTATAGGAAAATTATAACTCCTCAATGTGGCAGTTTCCAATTAATGCACTATAAGTTGCACAGATTAATACAAATTAGCAAAACACTGGATTTTTTAATGGGGAAAAGTGAAGGACTTCGAGAAATTCTTCAGAGAGAAAGTGGAGGCACTTGAATTAATTTCAAAACTACCCTATGACATACTAAGTACTGCATTCATTACTATTGTCCAGGTTTCAGTAAAATATTCATAGCCATTTCTTTTGTAGCAGCTTGTAAAACTATAATCAATAATAAGGGTAGAGACACTGTTATTGAAAATATTGAAAATGTTTTGTCATGGTTAGTAGCTTATATGGTCATCTAAGTTTAACTATTATTTATTAAAGTTTCGGTTTTCTTGGATACTAATTATTAACTACTACCTAAATGTTAAAGTGAAACTTGGTAATTAATAATTATATTTTGGTGATCATATAGGCTACTAGCCTTGACAACGATTGATATCTGATCACCACAACCTTATTGTAAGTACTTATTAAAAATGTTTATTTTTCAACAGTTACCTCAGAAGTCCTTTTATTAAGGCAGCAGTTGTCAGACAGTTTAGAGACTAACAAGTTGATAAAGCAGGAGAAGGAAAAGTTAGAACAAAAAATTGCAACTATGGTAAGCACCTTTTATGTATATAATGTAATTGAAAAATAAGTTTTCAACTTTCTTAATAAGTAATTGTAAAAAATTAGTTTCTGACCAGGTTGATGGAATAAAAAACTCACAAAAGAACTCTAATGTCTGTATAAAACCTCAACAGTTAGTGAAAAATTTAAGTTTCAAACATTTTCCTCTTTTGATTAATTAACTGAAAAAAAAATAGGTTCTGATCTTTTGGTTGTTTTAAATACAAAATGAAGACTGGAAAAATTTATAATGAAAATTAAGAATCTAACATGTCTTTACAAGAATTTTTCTGTCCAGAAAAAATTTTCATAACATTGAAATTTTTTGTTTGGATAGCTTTATAATCTAAATGAAATTTTGTAGAAAATACTGAAGTATGAACGACTGAGTATGTGGTGACATTATTTTAAATGTTTCTAGTGTAATAAGTTTGTCTAAAGTTTTATTAACAAAATGCACCAGATTTAATTATGAATTCGTCATGGTTTATGGTTGTTGTTGTTTTTTTCAATGATACTTACAAGAAAATTGCATTTTGAGAAACATATTTCAGGAATTATATAATAAGACTTTTCCAAGATAAAATGTTTTTAGAGTATATAGTGAGACATAATCAGTTAACTGCAATGTTTATTGCTAAAAGAAAATTAATTGTGCATTGTTTTATAATTAAACATGCCTAAAATTGGAAGTAGTAAAGTATAGATCATTACATAGGTTTCTGATGTTATGAATAAATATTAATAAATTGCAAGAGTGAAAAAGAAACAACAGAATACCAGCCAACACTTACTTTCCTCGATAGTTTGATTATCTGGTTCCCAGCCTCATAATAAGCATAGAATACATCACGACTTTTTGACCGTCTCTTGCTGTGATTACAAAATAGTTTTGAGTCAGTTTGTGGTGTTGCATTCTTGTATACATTTTTTTTTTGTATGATCAAGTAAGATTGGTTTGTTCTTTGACCTGACCCAACAAAGTGAATTTTTTTTTATATTTATATTATTTGTATATTTTATACTCCTGCTGTGCCTTTTTTTAAAGTTTATGTCAAATGGTCATACTTACTTGCTTTATCAAGGTAAGTTGCACAGAGAAATAATTTTCTTTATTTTATTAGTCAGTTGCTTGTTCCAGTGTTCAATGTATGGCATTTGTAAAATAAGTTTGGTAATTTGCTAACATAAATAGCTATTCTTGCTCAGTGCTGCCTTCTATATGTAAAAATATTTTTGCATGCCACGAGCCTTCAACATGGTTCAACCGTCTCTCACATGTAAATCATCATGCGACAACCCTCCACCAATAGGAGTGTGACACACCCTCCTGATGCATAGGAATCCCTCTATTTGATTCTTACAAACTATCACTTCTCGTTTAGCAGTGCTCTCATCAAAACTTATTTTATTGTGCTCTTCAGTTGTGTTTTTTTTTCTCTAAGAACTTTAAACTTGGTGCTTTTTTTTTGCCATTCATTCCAAAGTGGAATTGTTCTTTTCAATTTTGAAACAGTTTTTTTTTGCCATTCATTCCAAAGTGGAATTGTTGTTTTCAATTTTGAAACAGTTTCTGAACTTAAAGATAACTTATTTTTTCCCAGTTTCATTTTTTTAATTTAACACTTTGATCATTCATTGGTAAAAATGAATTCAGAAGTCCAAATTACCACTATGGAGGTAATAACGTCTATCAGCACATTTACGTAGGCTGCATGTTGGGGTAACTTGGCTATAGAATTACTGGCTTCTCTCAGTCACAGTGAGATTGATCATTATGGGAGTCCATCTGCTTCTCCTGATGTTGCCAATATTCCACCTGAATATGCTGAAGCTGTTCAGGCTGGCAAGGAATTTGACAGCTTTTTTTTTCCACCTGATGTTGCTGTGTCTTCATATGCCCCTACTGCAGAATCAGCTAGACATGGTATGGCTTTTTTAGTGATGATTTCTCAGGTGTGTTCTGTTTTATCCATTTCACCAACTTCTTATAATCCTCTTCCTTCTTTGTTACATGATACTCTCTCATCCGGCGAATTGCTTCGTTTTTAGCTCATTCCATTCACCCTTCTTCTATAGATGTTTATCATTGTAAGTGAAACATTTTTCACTGTTGGTCTTTGGGTCTTAGATTTTCACCTGCTTGACCCATTGTTCATCTTTTTATGGATTTCCTCACTTGGCTGTTTGATCAGGGGTCTTCTGTCTTCCTAAGTAAGGGTTATCAAGCTGCCTTACTTCATACTTTACATTTTTCCCAGTACTGTAAAGTTTTTACCTCTCCTAACCTCTCCCTATTGTTGTGTTCCTACTAGATTCGCCCTCAGCATGCAGTCCTTCTGGATTGGGATGTCATTGTGGTTCTTCACTGCCTTACTTTGCCTCTGTTTGAATCTCTGTCCTCGTTTTCAATTTTTCATTAAGACTTATTTTCTCGTCTTTTGGATGTCATAGGTTGGATTTTTTGCCATTGACATTTCATGTGCCCATTGTCATACCACATATGTTCTCCTCTCTACGGATTGCTTTTTCCTTCCCAAAACTTTGGCAGTTCACTAGGGTAACTCCTCCTCCTTGCCGATTTCCCTTCCTGTCATTTCCCACTTATATCGTCAGTCTGATCTGGATAGACTACTATATTCCATACATGCTCTTCATTGGTATATTAACTACACAACTTCCTTCCATGGTGCCCATTCCCACCTCTGCATCCTGTGGCAGATTTTCTTTGTTCATGACCTTTCTTCTTCCACCCTTACCAATTGGGTTCAGCTTTTAATTCGATTGACTTAAACTTCTTTGTCTCCTCCTTCCTGTTTTTGTTCCAGGTGTCTTCTCATTAGATTAGGCCCCTTACCTTTTCCCAGGAATCTCATCTTCATTGTCCTTTGGAGGAAATTCTTCAATCAGGCATGTGAACCACACCACATATGTTCATCTCTCACTATCTGCATCAGATTACTGTTTCTTCATCGTTGGGTTATCATCTTCCTCTTGTGGCCAATCTTCAGACTTTAGTAAGACTGAGACTGGGTAAGTTATCTTTTCTATACCTCTTATTTATCAGGGCATTTCCCTTTTTTCCTGTATGGATCAGCTCTATGGCAAGTGGTGCCTGCTCAGGTACACTTCAACTAGTCAAATCTGCACTGTCAGGCCATGTTGACTTCATATTCATAATTTCCATGGTTTTTCCTTGCAATATTGATTTGCTTCATTAATATGCCCATCCCGGACTGTACTTACCCATAGACTTCATGGGTAAAGCAGAAGGGGATAACTGCCCATCCCTGCCATTCCTTCGATTTAATAAATCAGTTCTGGTGTGCTTTTCAAAATAGAGTTCTCGTGGTCATCCATTGCACTGTCTCCAGTGTTAATATTCCTCCAGACTCTCCACCACATTTTCTCCCTCCTTTTTCTTCCAATGGAGTATGGTAGTCCTTATCACTTTTCAGTTCCAAACCTTTGGAGTGGTGGACCATGGAGGCATTATCCTGAATGTGATAGTGATATATGATACAAATGATGATGAAACCATTCAGTGGAGAGTAGGGCAGTGGTGTTCTGCTGGTGTAGGTGACAAGATGTCCCCCCAGTCTGATGCTCCATTTCTGTACAGGTTTATCTGAGGGGATGTTATAGCTTTGGAGTGAGACATCATCTCTTCGGATGTCGGTTCCCAGTGACTGGGTTTTGGATTTAGAGCTGAACCAATCAACATAAGTCCTCACGCATGTATTACACGTGTATCTGTTCCCTTACTCAATTATACTCTTGTTCACTTCACCCTCATTGTGGGTCATGGTGGTAGTTCTTGAGGATTAAATAGTTCTTTTTTCTTATGCTATCCCTTGATGTTTTTGTGCTGGGGGTGGTTTCTGTCAGGTTGTTTTTGAGTGGGAATGTTTACTTAACAGCGACATCTTTCTTACACTGATTGTCCAGATGTCGGTTTCTGGATCGGGCAACTATTTATATAACTTTTATGTGTCCCATTCACAGATGGGTGGGTCCGAGATTTCCCTCCGGTGTACAGAACTTGAGGTGAAGATGGAATAATCTTCTTACCTACCCCCACCAGATGGCTATGTTTTGGATTGTAGTTGACTTACCGATGATATGATCCTCATTCTACCCCTGCATGGATGTCGGTTTCCAGTGGATGGGTTTTGGATGCAGTTGACTTGCCATATGCAGTCCATTGCACCATAACCAATCTTAACCTAGGGGTATATCCTTTTTACTCTCAACCACATTCATGTAATCTTTGGGGTTGGGATTCAGATATTGTGTGATTTGGATTCCTATCCACCCATTGTTTTCTCAATTTTGGATATGTCCTCCCATTTTCTGCCCATGTCTGCATCACCTCTTTCCACACTGGACAAGGAGCATACCTGGTACAGATGTGGTAGTCTCCCAAGTATGATTTTCTAATGTGAGGATCTCCTCTTTTAGGGTGTTCTTCGGAAGCTTTTGAAGGATGTTTCTTTCTTTCCCTTGCACCAGTACCTCCACCTATTCGTTGTGGGATTCCAGCTATTTATGTGAAGGGAAGTAATGTAATGTATCGGAAGTTATAATTTTTCTATACTGAAAATGTATTTTAGATAGGTACTTATCTCCTCTCACCCTTCCTCCCTACTGAAAACCGGTGCTTCCATTTTCTTCCAAAACTTGAAGTGATAGTTCGATAGAATCGAATAGAGAGAGTCACATGATTCAGGAAGGTATGTTGCACTCCTATTGGTGAAGGGTTGTTGCATGAGGATTTACATGCAAGACACAGTTGAACCACATTGGTCATGGGTTACGTCAAAGCTGAAGGCTTGTGGCATGCGAAAAAAAAAATTCCATATAGAGGGCAGCACTGAACAGGAATAGCTATATCTGTAAGCAGAGGTAAGTACCTATTGGAAATACATTTTCAGTAAAGGAAAATTATAACTTTAATAGGATCTTTATTTATTCAATATTTTTGTTGAAAATGTTGTTAAAAAATATTAGCAAATTAATACTAATATTAACACATAGCTCATAGAGTCATAAACATTTTGTTTTTTTTCTTGAAAATTATATAATTTGAATAACCAAATTGATAGATATTGAAACATATGGAAAATAGTTGTTTTATTTTAAGCTGAAAATTGACAATTATAATATGCCATATATGTTTGTGTTAATTTTATCAACCAGTATAAGAGTTAAGTTTAGAAGTTAAAGATTTATTGTGAAATTCCAGTAAAATTTTTAAGATGACATCTCTTACTGTTTACTTGGCATTGAAACAACAGTGTGAGATATGATATGTGGTTAATTATAGGGAGGGCCAGTTTAATTTTTAAATATTCCTCTATATTAATGCTCACTGTTATGTAGCATGCTGTTTACCTAGTAGTCTAATTTTATCATTGCTTCAGTGAGCAAGTCCTATCCTTTCCAAAATGTGTGACATGACAAACAAGTACAGTTTGAAATAATGTTTGAACTTAAATATATTAAAGTACACTTAAATGTAATAACCATATTTACTTAATGCTGGTAACAGTTTGCAACAAGAATGAAAGTTGTATTCACATTTAAATAAGGTATAAGCAGAAAATACCATTGTCATATTTTTTGATGCTGTATGTCTATGTCTCTGAAAAAAAATACATAAAGTTCCACACATTTCTTCTATGTTTTCAAACACACACACACACAGATTTTGTCCTTTATAACTCATATATCAGTGACCATGGAAAAATAAACTGAATTGTTAAGCCCAAACATTACACACAGTATTACTCAACTTATATGCCACTGTTATGGAGAATTGGCAAAATATTTCAAAAATGCAAACATATAAGTAGTTAAATGGTGGTAGTTTCCACTATTGGGACAAAAAAATGTAAGAAAAACAAATCAACTGAACATATCTTTATTAAAATAAAAGAGAAACTTGTAACATGAAAAATTATAATTTTCTTTTTGGATAACCAAGTAATATGTTTTATCCATAAATAAAACTTTAACTGAACACGTTATTATGGTGTTTTGGATTGAAGAGTACTCTGTGACAGTTTTTATAAACTTATTTTTAATGCATATTGGTAATTCCTTTTATTATCCTTCCAAATGAAAGGGTTCAGAGAGGATATAGTGATGATGATGTTTGTCCATCTGTAGACATCTATTTTTTGCAGGATAACTAGTTTTAAGTAGCATATTTTAGTCAAACTTCATAAGTATGCTTACGTTGTGGCTGGGGAAGAACCCTATTGATTTTGGGGTTAAGTTCCTTATTTCAAAAAATGGAAATTTGGTATCTGTGTGAAAGAAAACATAACCACAAAATGCACATACACAAACACCACAAGTTATCAACACACCAAAACCAAAATAAACAAAAAGCTAATGATGGGGAATCAGTTATTCTACTGATGGTTATTAAAATTAATAAATAACCATATGAAAACCATAGTAAAGGAATGTAATTTCATGTTGAATAAAGTATGGTGTTCCTGTACTAGTGTATTTGAATTTTTGTGTCTATATATCTATATATACATAATTAGATATGTATTTATTTATTTGCTGCCTGAGGTGGTTGAGTCAAAACTTCCGGTCTTATAAGTAAACATGATAAGTAATATTAAGTATAGATGCACCTGTGAATTAATAATGTTTTATACATATGGAAATTTTGGAAAAGTCTACAATTTTTATATTTATAGTTTATTACAACATACACCCTATATTAAAACATTTGTTGCCCTTAAACCCTCAAATTATTTGCCTACAATTTAACAAACTAGTTTTCCCTTTATGATACAGTAGGTGAGATAGACTGTAATGTTCCAGAACTTAAAGAAAAAACCAGCTGTAAAGAGTTAATAAGATATAACAAGTAGATAATGTTGTGGTAGAAGTACTCAAAATTTCTCCTCATCAAACAATCACTACAATTTCAAAAATTAGAAATACAAATAACGTTTATGTAAAGGGTAATACAAAAACTATGCCAACAAGTGTGATTTTTTTAAAGATATAAAAAACAGATTCTTGTATTGAAGCACATTCATAAAGTCCTTGAAAAAGAAAGGAGAAGAGAATAAGAAAAGCTACATAAATAAGCAAAATATCAAGGAGGAAAAATAACTAAAACTGTTAGTCTTGTCTTATGCATGAATTAGTTATGTAGTAAGGGTCTGTGTATGTGAATCAACGGTTTAATTCAGGATTTTCATTTGTGATCACTAAACTTTCAGTTAGTTTTCTGTCATCAGAAATATTTGTTTTCTACAATGGAAGCCAAAAAAGAAATACATGTAGTGATTTCATCAACATTCGATGTTGCAGACTGTAAGCTGAGTGGCTGTTAGTTGTTTCTGTTTTTATATTTGTCACTCTCTGTCTCAGGCTGAGACATCTGTATAATTCTCACCTTATATAGTACATGATATTTCTTATGTACATGACATTCTTTTGAGTACATTGAGTGAGATTTTGTATGCAGTACATACTCGCACAGGAGAGGTACATGTGTCTGAAGCTGATTTTATGAGTTCATACAGATCTTTCCATTAATTTGATATTAATAATGTCTTTAATTTCCTGTTTTAATTTTGATGTAAAGTATCATTTATAAAGGATAATGAAAGGGTAAATATCAGTCATGTTTAAACAGATGTTTTACTTTAAACTTTTGTTGAATTTGTCATGACATTGTTTTGTTCTGCCTCAAGAACCTCTGGTTCTTTTGTTCAAGGCATATAAATGTTATCCACATATCTTTTATAAAAAGAATGGAGTTTTTTATATTGAGAAAGGAATGCTCTTTCTAAGGAATGCATAAAAATACTAACAAATTGTAGAACAATAGCTACTCCTCAATTTCAAAACTTTATGCTGAAACAGTCAACAGTCTCAAAACAGACACTACGTTTCAATGTGATTTGATGTTGGCAGTCTCAGAATAGTTTTTAAATTCTGTACTTAAAAATATCGATCATTTGAGTGTTTTAATTATTCAGTCACCTTCATTTCATAATAACTTAAGTTTTTCCACAGCTTGCTTTGAAACATTTCAATATGTTTTGGGTGTGGCCAAGTGGTTAATATGTCAGACTATAAATCCAGAGGTTCATGGTTTGCCATAGAAACAAACACACTTTGAGATCATGTTTGAGTTGTATGATTTACAGTCAATTCCCACTATTCAGTGAATAATTCAAGAGTTGATGGTGGGTGTTGTTAACTAGCTACTTTCCCTCTAGCCTATCAGTCAAAATTTAGGGACAGATAGTTCTCCTACAGCTTTTTGTTAATTTATTAAATAACCTACTAGCGTCCAGTAGGTTTATTCAAAGTATGAAAAACCTCGGGCCTTATTTCCTGAAGTCTGGATAAAACTATTATTATAAATACTTATTAGATGTAAATAATGTGCTAATTTTAAGTTATTTTATTGTTACCAAGTTTTTCTGCATTTCATGGAATAATGTGGAAAACCTGTAATAAGCCTAAACAAACAAAATTAAAACTATACTAATATTATATCTCACAATAAACAATTACAGAAATTTTATTTAGAATCAGCTGAAAAACTTTTCCCCCCATGTTTTTTGTTGATATTTTAACTTTATGCTTATTGTTTTTCATGAATATATTGATACAGCTAGTAAAGTTAAGACATAATTAAACGTTATAGAATTGGTCATTGTTATAGCATACAGAAAAAAACTCTAATAAGCAAAGACAAGTGCACTGAGTGAAAGCTACATCATGCCATCAATATAGGGAACCAATATCCTAAGAGGTTACATGCCTTTACTCTCTTTACATGAAAAATTCATTTTAATATATATATTTACCAGATTAAAAACTGTGTTTTTTTTCAGTCTGAAAATCTAGTTTCTTTGAAAGCAAGTTTGGATGAAGCAATGAGTTTGAAGACAAATTTCGAGACACAGGTTAAAAGACTTAAGGTTAGTTTCATTTCAGAAAATTTGAAATTTTGATAATCACGTCTTGAAATATTGTGCTGAAGAAACTGCTTACAAAAGAATAGATATTATCAGTATGTATAATTTCTTTTAAGAACATACTTTTACTGTAGTTTTTCATGTTAAATGGATGTGCTGGGTTACTGTTTTGTTGAACTTAGATAATTTTTTTTTGTTCCAGCCCAATTTTTTTTTAGGTTGTGAGGAGGAATAGGGTTTATCCAGATATAAGATAATAAAGAGAAAAATTAGGGAATCAGGTTTTTTTTAGTATGCCTTTTAGGTCTATTATTGCAGAAGTATAATGACAGTCAGTATAATGACTTAGAGGACTTAATGCATACAGTATTATATTGATGTAGGTTATACAAAAGTAGTGAAAGGAATAACAATTATATGTTTCTTTCTTAATTATTAGTGATCACTTTTTTCTTTGCAAAATCTTTGTCAAACTTAGAAAATTAATAATAATGTGTGTAATACTGAAGGCATGCCAGGGAAGATAGTTGTTTTCAGCTTTATTAAGGAAAGATTGCTTAATGACAGTGTGTGTTATATGTTTTTGTATATATATATAGACACAACACACACACACACACACACAAACATATTCTTTAAAATTAAGATGACATAGTATATTACATTGTTTTCTGAACAGAGAATTGTCAATTTCTCAGTTAGTACAAGCCTCATTCCTGTGGGAAAGATAATGACTATCTTTGATGAATTTGTAACGGTTTTGTCACATAGTTAGAAAGCCAGAAAAATTGTGATAGTTAGGGGAAGGTGTCTGCTTTTTGCATGTTATTATGCCATGTTATTTTGTGCATTATTTAATTAAATAAAAATTATATAGTGTATTACTACCATTAGTATTAAAAAGTAGGGTTAAGTGTCATTGACAGTTGATAGCAAAAAAAAGAAGACCTGGGTAAGTACTTTATTTCTTGTTTTTCATGTTTATTTTTTATGTATTATTGTAAAAGTAACTAAAATGTAAAATTAAGGGTCTCTTTAGGTTAGTTAAGGTTAGATTAGGTAAAATAGATAATAATAATGTAATAAAAATGTTTCATAAGGCATGCATGTGAGTAGCTCGTGGATAATGTAATTCGATAACGTAATGGCAGCTCCACATTCCCCAAGTGATTTACAACTTATAATTGCATGAATGATACTAGTAAGTTGTTCAAAAGGTAATCACAGAGCAATAAAACAATAAAATTTGAGTATGAATAGATGTATACTGTTACATGTTTAAATCTACTTGGGACAAACAAATGTAGTTTCATGTTACATTTGAAGTCATTCTAGAAAGAAAAAGTGTAATTTAGATTAATTTTGATTTTTTGTGTGTGTGGTTACCAGGTTGGTCAAATTGACCAGCCACATATAGAGTTAGGGTAGAGAAAATAACAGAAAAAATATAATGTTTTACTGAAAACAAATGTTTGAAATGTACTTAGGAAGTTTTAGAGATTACAAAAATGATAGTTGAGATTTTTGGAACAAAGAATAGTTTTTTATTTTAACATACAAGTCACTTTTCACTCAGACTAGTAACAAAACAGACTCGATATATTCACAAACAAATCTTTAGTAATAATACTTCATTAAAAAATCTGATTTTTTATGTAAAAAAAGACTTGTAATATTTACTAAAAGTCTACCAAATTTTGTGAAGATGCACCTACTGCATTAAAAGTTATAGTATAAATAGTTAATGTATACAAATGTGTATGCGAACTAGTTTATTTTGTACTGAGCCCGTTGCAAAAGGGTTAATTAAGTAGGTTTTTTCTAAACAATTTAGTTTTTCTTAACTGATAAACAGCTTTAGCAGTATGTGAAATATATGTATCTTACAATATAAATAATATATATTTTGAATTAACTCATAAGAAATTAATAATTATTGGCATGCTTAGTATGAAATATTTTAGAATAAAGAGTCAGATTATCATGTAATTAATATAACTTGGGCTAAGAGAGAGATTTA